TTTTTTTTTTTTTTTAAAGAAACACCAGTCAGCTTATGGAGAAAGTTAATTGCCAGAAAACTGGGTAAATTGCCTTCTTCTAATAATCACCCAATTCCTCTAATGATACATAACCCCAAATTTGTTCAGTCCAAACAGTTCTACTGGTAGAAACACAAACAATGCAATAATAAAATATAAATTAAAACAAGCATTAGAATATTATCATTTTGAGAAGAAACTCTTGAATCAACTCAAAAGTTTTATTTAAAAGGAAATTTCTGGTGATGGGCAATTCAAAGATAAATAGCAAAAGGGACTGATGCCAGCTACTCTTCCAAGAAAATCCAGTTTATTGTCACTGTTATTCCAGCCGTCACAACTATCACAATGTCTAAGTACATAAGATGTTCCCTAGTCACACAGAATTATAAAACCCATTTTCTCTACATAGCAACATTAAGCTTCAAACATAAGAACAGCCTTCAACTTCACCAATATGCTAGTAACTACAAACTATCAAAAAGCATTCCTCCTAAATACTCTTTGACTAAGGGCTGAGTGCTAGTATGTCCTTCTCTCCAAATCATTTTAGGCACTGGTTATCCAAACAGTGAAGTAATTGTGGCACATCTGAAATTATAAAATTGTCTCTAAAATGATCTTTATTTATAAGATATTTATGAATAGTCAACTATGTACCAACTATAATGCTACATAATAAGGATACCACAAAAGAAAGATTACCCAGAAACTCTGAATAGTGGCCTAAATATTTCTTCCAATTTTTTTTTATTTCCCTATAAGTTACTTTATCATTAGCACTGAGAATAAAATATTAAAAATAATCTGGCTTTGGTGATAGAGTGTGGTGCATAAATGCCCTGGGTAAATAAGAAGAGAAAAACCAGGCAGGTATAGATTCTGTTATAATTTGCAATTTATTTATACCCCACCTTTTCTGTAAGGATTAATGGCAGCTTAGAAGGATTTATAAAATGTGACAAGATGAGCTAAATTAAAAATAAAAGAGAAACACAGAAACAAAAAAAAAAGGAAAACAAGGGCAGCAGTTATAAAACACAACTAAGAAAAGTTTAAAATTCTGGCTTTTGGTGGTTAAAAAATTTGGTTTTATGCTTTCTAGTAGCAACTCAAATAGTAAAGCTTTATCAGTTTTTCTATTCAATACCAGTAAGATAAAAAAATTAAGCCAAGAATTTTTTCAGAGTTGAAGACATTATAGTGGGACGAACAATTATCAATTACATCCTTAGAAGAAATATAATGACAAGTTTCACAGGGTTGTTTCTTAGAAGTTGACAGCATGGCTCCCACTATGGACTTTTTAACGTTGTCAGTCAGAGAATTGCACTGGAAAATAGATCTAACATCACCTGTGAAAACTGAAATGCTTAAGAAAAAAGGTGTGAATGAGCAGGTCACCCCTGTACCTGGAAAGGAGTGAAGAATACACAGTTGATAAGAATGACATTATCCTTAGGAAGAATTTAAAATTTGCTTTTCAATACCTAGACAAATGGGTACTTGAAGTCCTGAAGTTCTACCCTGTATAGCATAGCCTCAAAATTTTTATTTTGCATAATTGCAGTACACATTTCCAGGCACAGTCAGGACCCAAGGACTCAGCATATATTGGGAGAGTAGATGATCTCTGAAGACCTAGTGATAATCTGCAATATCTACCCCTTGAGGTGAGCTTTAACTAGCTGCATTACTATAATCAAGAACAAGAATTAGCCTCATTAAAATACCAACATCATACTTTGAAGAACTGGAAAATATAGTTCTTCATTTTGTATGGAACCAGAAACGAAACCCGTATAGTCAAGGGAATTCTTAATAATAAAAACAAAGCCACAGGCATCATTCTACCAGACTTCAGGTTATGTTACAAGTCCACAGTGATCAAAACAGCATGGTATGGGCACAAAAAAAGAGAAATAGACATATGGAACAAAATAGAAAACCAAGAGATGAAACCAGTCTCTTATTGCCAAACAAAAGCATACACCAGGGAAAAGAATCTCTATTCAATAAATGGTGCTGGGAGAACTGGATAACCACATGTAAAAGACTGAAATTGGACCCACACCTTTCTCCACTTACAAAAATTGACTCCAGATGGATAGAAGATTTAAATCTAAGACATGAAATAATAAAAGTCCCAGAAGAAGGTTTGGGAAAAACTCTTGAAGATGTCAGCCTGTGGAAAGATTTTATGAAGACTTCAGTGGCAATAACAACAACAACAACAATAAACAAATGGGACTTAATTAAGCTGGAAAACGTCTACACAGTTAAGGACACAACAAGTAAAGCAAATAGACAACCTCCAGAATGAGAAAAGATATTTGCATGTTATGAATCTCACAAAGGGTTGATAACTACCATCTACAGAGAACTCTAATCAATAAAAATAAAGCAATCACTCACTAGACAAAAGAATAGAACTATCTTTGAGGAAGACAGATGAAGGGCTAAGAAATATATGAAAAAATGTTCATTGTCCCTGATCATCAGAGAAATGCAAATCAAAACCACTCTGAGATATCACCTAAACCCAGTGAGAACAGCCCACATCACAAAGTCCCAAAGCTGGCATGGATGTGGATAGAAGGGAATACTTTTACACTGTTGGTGAGACTGCAAACTAATACAGCTTCTTTGAAAAGAAGTACGGAGAATCCTCAAAGAACTCAAATTAGACCTTATGTAAATTTGATACCACAATCCCATTACTAGGCATCTACCTAAAAGAAAAAAATTATTTTATCATAAGAACATTTGCACTAGATTGTTTATCACAGCTCAATTTACAATTACCAAGATGTGGAAACAACCTAAATGCCCATCAACTCAGGAATGAATTAACAAACTGTGGTATATGTATTACCATGAAATACTATTCAGCCATAAAAAGATGGAGGCTTTGGTTTGGTGCCTGTAGCACAGTAGTTACAGTGCTAGCCATATACACTGAGGCTGGTGGGTTGAAACCCAGCCAAAGCCTGCTAAATAATAATGACAACTACAAACAAAAAAATAGCTGGTCATTGTGGCGGGCACCTATAGTTCCAGCTACTTGGGAGGCCAAGGAAAGAGAATTGCTTAAGCCCAAGAGTTTGAAGTTGCTGTGAGCTGTAATGCCATGACACTCTATCAAGAGTAACAAAGTGAAATTCTGTCTCAAAAAAAAAAAA